GGCTGTATCCCCAGTTAGAGATGGAAAGAGAGTGTCCCCTGGGGCACTGGAAGAAGGTTCTCTGGAGGCAGTGAAGTGGGACCCAAGACAGGGCCTGAGGAATGAATACTTGAGAGCTGAATGGGACAGTGTCCTCTGTGATGGTCCTGACACGCCCTCTAGTTTGGGATGGGCACTCAGGAGGGTCGTCTTTGGGAGCCAGGCAGCTGGTGCCTCAGATTACAGAGGATGTCTCTGTGTGAGAGGGGCTGGGAGGGGCTGGAGGCTTCTCCCCACAATAGGGCTTCCACACACACTGGGATGCCAGGTTTGGGCTCAGGGCACAGTGCCCTGCAAAAAAAGGGTGGGGCTTCTCAATGCTGCTCTACTTAGCAAATGCATCACTTTACTTTGCAAGTTTTCCCAGCCTAGGGCACGCAATGTAAACATCTTAAGATGTGTTTAGGGGCCAGCAGGTGGCATGGTGGTTGAAGTGTTGGACTCCCACATGGCAATTTGAGTCCTGGACCTGATGGCTTGTTTTCTCACTTTCCCTCTCTCTTTCTGTCTCTCTCTGATGAGTGCATGTACCCTGTAGCAAAATTTAAACTAAGAATAATTAAGTAAAATTAAATAATCATTTTTTAAAAGACACTTTGATTTACGCTTACCAATTGCCCATGTGAAAGACATAATTGCCCAAAATTATATTACTGTGTTAAACAGACTTCAGTAATTTTTAATTTGGGGCAAGCTTTCATGGGTACTGACAGGGATCTAGGTAGGAAAAGAAAAGAAAAGAAAAAGGAATCTAGGTAGATAGGGCCATCCCCAAGGTCTACCTAGATAGGTTCACCCTCAAGTTACCCCCTGGTACCCAGACTGAAATGACTGTCTCTCCTTTACCCCCAGAAAGTTCTGAGGACCCAGAAAGGCCCACATGGTGACACGGACATCAGCATGGGGTGCATGTGCTGGCCACCTTGCTAACGCTCTTGCCTTGTTTTCAGCCCCAACGTGTGTGCTGTGCAGAAGCTCATTGGCACCAACAAGAAGTACTTCACCAACTGCAAGCAGTGGTACCAGAGGAAAATCTGCGGCAAGTCAACGTGAGTATCAGTAACTACCCGAGATCACCAGCCACCGAGGCCACACTGCGTACATGCCAGCAGTACATGCCAGCAATAGTAGCCCCAGGCCTGGGCTGCCTAAAGAGCTATGAAGATGCGTGCCCCGACACAGCAGAGAGCTGTGCTGGGAGTGGCATTTTTAGGAAGCTGGCCAGTTTTGTTTTGCATTTTTAAGGCTGCTGACAAGACTCGGATACATTTTCCAGGGCTGCTCTAGAATTGCAAGAACCAACTGTGTGTGTGAGTGTGTGTGAATGTGTGTGTGTTTCACAGCCTCAATAAACGTTACAGATATTCAGTGTAGAAGCCACCAGCACATGACTCTGGGAACAAAAACAGCCCATATACTAAAGAACATCAGCCTGGCTCCACAATCCTAAGGTAAACACCCCCAAAAGATTTAGGGCACATTTGGAGACAGAATAACCTGTTAAGAACATGTTTTCAGACTCTGATTCAACCCTGGCGTTGCCACTTACCCGGGCAGGTTGCTTCATCTGTAGAGCCCTCGGTTGCCTCATCTATAAAACGCAGATCACAAAAGAACCTACCTTGTGAGGTTGTTATGAGGATTGGATGAGCTAGTGTACCTAAGAGTCTGAATACAGTGCCTGGCTCATTGTAAGCACTCAGTAAAAGCTATCTGCTATTTTATTACCCCAGAATTTGCAAGTTTAGACCACACAGACAGTAGGAGTGCCCGGGTGGTTGTGATAGGGCTCATTAGTGCTTCTAAGAGCATAGAGAGAGGTGACCTCCACCCCGACTACCCAGCTGCCTGGTGGAAACAGGGTCAAGCGCATGTTCTTACAGAATTCCGGGGAAACCTAGTCTGTTTTGGCACTCCCTGTCACCAGATCTCGAAGCTGACTCTCTCCTGCAGATGTGCTAGCAAAACTTCCTGAGCCACTTGTGAGGGCCTGACCCTCCTCTTGTCTGTGTAATAGGAGGATTAAGAGGCTCTAAGCCCTTATCTTGAACACTTTCCAGTGTTAGAGATTTTTAAATTGCTTGTGATGTTGCTTTTGAGCACATTCTTCCAACAGAGGGAATGAAAAACACCCTTAGCTTAAAATTCACACGGAAATAAATATTCCAATGTGGGACCCGATTGTGTAAGGCAGTTATCAGTCCTAGTAGCAATAGAGGGAAATTAGGATTCATGGCAGAGCTGTGGAGACACCAGTAGGCTCCCCACCTGCTGACAGCCCAGCTGCAAAGCTAAGAGCTCAGTGAGCTAGGGGGACGCATCTCCCGGGTTCAGTGAACAAACGCCCAGTGATCATTCTTGCTGCTCCAAACAAGAGATTTTGCAAATCGTGTACCATGGATCCTCCCATCATACCCAAAATAAAGAAAAAAAGTCTTTATTACTGATTGATTTTTTTTCCCCCATGGACATATTACTATGTACTCAACTAAATATTTAACTAATTATTTAATTAAACACCAAGCTGGGCCTCACATAATTGCTTCTTGGAAGATGACCAAAGTGTGGTGCCAAGCAAACAGAAATTCCACATGCTAGGTTTCAAAGACCATCGCTTATCTGATAATTCAAGATTTCCTAAAAATGTCATGGTGAGCTAGTCAGGGGTGGCATCTGTTTTGGGAGCCCCGGGTTACATTGGCTTGACTAGTTAACAGTAGCTTGATAAGATTCTCCAGCAGCTCCTAGGCTGACACCGTGGCAGGTGATGAGTGCCTCGCCTTATTGGCTCTTGTTACTTGCATCTCTCTCCATGTGTAAGTCTGGGCAAGGCACAAGCAGCATGGCTGTGTATTGGTAAAATGTTCTTGGTGACCAAGTTATCTTCTCTGAGGTGGGTTTGGCTTTGGGAGCTTGGAGATGTGATGATGCAGCACCTCCACCCAGTGAGCACGGAGTGGGGCCAGGCACCAGGAAAAGGAAAACGTGTGTGGCTGAGATGTAGGCAGGGAGAGTGAGGTTTATAGCAGAGTCAGGCAAAGCCCAGACCCAGGCCCAACTGTTGACCTGGCCTCTTTCAAAGCCAGGAGAAAATTATATTCATATTCAACTGTTGAATGTGACCATTGCTTTAGGCAGCTTCAAAAAGAGGAAATGAAGCTAGGAAAACATGAGCTGATATAAAAACTTCATGATCCAGGGCAAGAGGAAATATCGTATGCAGTGTCAGGAAGGTGGAGCTGACATGGAAAAGATCCAGAGAACTCAGAAAGAGGAAGAAGTTGAATTCATCTGTTGTCCCAGAGAGCTGAGTAAGAGCACCTTTGCAGGGCACTCATGTCCATAGGACTGAGATCAATTGAGGGAGCTGCTGTCTGACCACCACGTGGGCAGAATTCAATTCTGGCTGGATTGACGTCATCCTGAGGGAAGTGGATTCCTAGATGCATTCATTCTGGTGACCAGACTAGAAATGGGAGCATGGTGGTGGTTGGAGCTAAGAGGACCGTCTCAGATGGGGCTAACAGGGGCAGTGAGACTTCCTCAGCAGGACTCTAAGGAAGAGGTTGGCTCAGAAGCGCATGTGGGGATGAAGGAAGCAAAATGTTATGGGGGAGAGGGCTGCACAGGACGTCAAGGGGCCAACGACCATAAGGAGAACTTGAACTTGAAGGCAGACGAAGGGCACCAAGCACAGGAAGTGAAGACTTTGTGGTGTGAGGTCACAGGGAGACACAGGACAGGCCTGGTGGTACAAGAAGTGGCACCACTTTGTGGCTGAAAGGCCCTGGACTCCACTTCCTGGGGAGGGGACTAGCCACAAGATGAGGCTACTTGTCCTCAGACAATAGCTTTTCTGCAATTCCAGAGAGAAGAACCTGTCTTTGGTGTTCTGTGTCAAAACCCAACATAATGGATTTTATTATAGGAAGTGGTTACCCTATTGAAGTGGCTTGAATGAATTTTATTACTTGGAAATTCACTTTAGCTTTTATTTCAGATGCTAAAGAGCACCAGCATGATACAATGGCTAGCCAACAGTGGTTTGTGAGGGGCAGTGGCATTATACTCTGTGATTTCGGGCCCTGGTTTGAATAGTAACCATAAATATTTACATGTGGCAACTTGAGTCAAGGCACAGGAAATTGTGGTCAGGAAGCCTGGCTGCTTCTCCACAGGCCTCCTTTGTGTGAGCCCAGGGGAGTCAGGGGTCTGTTTAGCAGCCACGTTGGAGCTGACCTCATGGAGATGTAATAGTCATAGCAGGAGCTCAGACATCATAAACGTGGCACAGGGAGGACCAGTGTGGAGCTAGCAGGCAAGGGTGACAGCCGTCCATTCCATATGCCTTGAAATTGTCTCATGAGCAACACATTTCACACGGGCAAATCTCTGGAGACCAGGGATGCTGGCAGGACACACCCATTCCTCTAGGAGCAAGCATTGCTTTGCCCAGGGGCCAGAACAGTAATACTTCTTCGGCGCTGTGGTAGAGCTGGACACTGGACTTTTACCAAAGCCAGCTGGAGCTTTTTCATCTACTGGCAGTCAGAGACCTCTGACATGAAACTGAAGAGGGGCCACTCTTTTCCTCCCTTCATGCAACCCACAACCTTGGAATAAATGGGAAAAAGAAGAGGATGGTGAGAAGCCATCCAGGCTGTCTCCAAACCTACACCAATACTTCCTCCCCTGGTCTATAGTCCCTAGACAGCCAGCTGGGGCCCCATGGATAATCTGCTTCAAGATAGCTGAGATCTGACATAAATCAAACCCCAGAGAGCTACCAACCACCTCTGTCAGCCAGTGCTTCCTAAAGGTTCTATCCCATTCTGTAAGACAAGAGACTGCCTAGTGCACATGGGATTTCGTTCTGTTGAGTTTACAAGAACCCATGTACTATCTGGGGTATGGTCTATGGCAGGTAGGAAAGCAACTCCTTTCCCCAGAGATGTCCATCATTCTTCTCTCAGGATTTTGGGGACACACACACACACACACATGCCCTGTGTGTTTTTCATTGGATCCAGGACTCGAACCACCGTCAGCCATGTAGGGTTCAGCCACCTTAACTTCCACACCACCTGCTGGCTGGATGGTCACTTCTTAATTCCAACCTGGAAATGTATTTCCTTACATGGAAAAGGGGACTTTGTAGATGTGATTACAATAAGGATCTTGAGAGGGGGAGGTCATCCTGGATTATCTAGAGGGCCCAGTGTAATCACAGGCTCTTCATAAGAGGGAGGCAGCAGGGTCAGAGTCAGAGAAGACATGATAATAAAAACTGAAGTTGAAGTGATGTGACCACCTGCATTTCCAGGACCAGGAGTGCCACGGGAGGCAGGCAGCCTCTAGAAGCTGGAAAAGGCAAGTCTCTACAAGGAATGTAGCCTTCGGTTTTACTCTGACCTCCAGAACTAGAAGATAATAAATTCATGTTGTTTTAAGCCACCAAGTGTGGCTTATATATGTATCACACTGTGTGATCATTTATTATAGTAAGTAGTGAGAAATTAACACGGGCCTATCAAGTTTTATAGATGTGTTACGGGGATCTGTTCAGTACAATGTGATTTGATCAGTAGCACATTGCTTCTGAGCTTATTAACCTAGCTTCAGTTTTAGAGTTTACACCTGGAATTTTGTTTTGTTTTTGTTTTCAGAAGAAATTTAACAACCAAGCATTTAGTAAACATCATGCATTTCTTTTTAAAAAATTTTTAAAAGAATTATTTTATTCAAATTTATTTATTTACTTAATTTTTAATTTACAGGAGGGGGGAGAGAGAGGAGAGAAAGTGAGCAAGGAAGCCGCTAGGTCTGGGACTCGAACCACAGTTGGCCAAATGGGAGTCCAGCACCTGTAACCACCATGCCATCTGCTGGTCCCCATATCATGCATTTCTTAAGTGCTTCTTATTATGTAAACTCATTCAATTCTTACAATCACCTTCTAAAACAATATGTTATTGGCTCACTTACCAACAGGGAGGCTGAGGTCAGAAAGCCTAAGCAAACTGCTCCAAGTCATCTGCTAAATGGGAGA